TCCGATCGATCATCGAGCTACTGAATCCGTTGATTTGTTAGCCCTCTGGACTGGTTACAATCAAAATTTTTTTTTCTGTATTCGTCTTCGGGAGCATATTTTGTTGAATAAACCGCCAGCTTGGTTGTATTGTGTATTTTGACGTTCGTTGCATCCGGCACTTTTATCACGCGATATTCCATTGCAAAATATAGGTTCCCTATTCACAGACTGGCTGTTAGTTAGGATTCTCAAATCGGAACCTCTTTGTCGTTGTTGATGTTATATTCTGGCAGTGAAAGCAACTAACGATTTGTAAATGAATAAACAAGCGAAATTGCCGTCCACCTTAGCACGTATCTCGAGTCACTGGTTCGAAGGTATTGAGTAATGCAAATGAATGTATGCAAACGGGTCATTACGTTGGTATCAGTGTGAGACCCAAATGCAACTAATGTTGACTACAACGACTGTTTTTCGACAGTTAATAATCGCACAGTTTATAACATTAGATGAATGTTTGACGGAAAACCTACGTTTTATAAATAGACTTACTAAAATCTTTGACGTACACGAAACATGTCATTACCATTGTCTGACAAATAACATTGCCCACATCCTCACGTGTGTTTCACGCTAGGAATTGATTCACTAGAGGTGAGGAAAAATCAACAGTGACGAACTGGGCAGAAGACGAAGATGTGAGTCTAGTTTTGATCCAACAATTTCACGTTTTCCATCAATACATGCAAATGGGTAAAAGACAATTCTGTGAATCGTTTCAGACAAGAGCACGCTTGTTGCATAATGCTCACTCCTGTAGTCCTTAGAACTACTTCACACCGAAAACGATTGTAATGCACTTGGGTTTCGAGCGTTGCAAATGAATGTATGCAAAGTAAACATTAGGCTGGTATCAGTGAGTGTTCAAAATGCAACTGCTTTTATCCGCAGTGGCTATTTATCCTACTAGTCAGTAGAAGATTAACGAAAATGTTTGACGCAGAAATTTCTTGTCATTACCATTCTCTGACAAATAGCATTCCCCACATCCTTGCATCTGGTTCAGGTAAGGCGTTGATTCACCAGAGATGGGGATAAATCAACAGCAACAAATTGGCAGAACGCGAAATTGTACGGCTAGTTTCGATTGGACGATTTAGTATTTCATCAATAAATGCAAATAGGTTAAAGACAACTAAAAGATTCGTTTTGAAAGTTGCACGCTTGTTGGTGATTGCTTACTCATATTACACTCCAAGGTGTCATTCGCACTTGTAGGACATGTTGGCTCGCTAAAGCGGGGCTTTGGCAAAAGCCAACTAGGCTATTCCCACGTTTGGTGTCAGCCTACATCCGTACTCACATAGAGTGCGTTACTAAAGCGTGGAATCCATGGATGAAAAGTGACTGATATATTTTTGAAATTTCGACAAAGCATACTATGGTGATCCAGACCTCCGTGACCGCAATCCATGCACGACCAGGTATAGTTTTATGTCATTCAATCACAGTTCAGGAAGCTCGGCCAATGGTAAACAGGGCAAACATGACATTCCAGTTAGTTCATAGGATGCGTCGATGTAAACGGTTACTTGATTGAAGGACGGTCATTCAACCAAACATATAGACTAATACATTCTAGAAAACATGATCTATTTCCATCAATAAATAAAAGCATTTGCTGCTATCAATTACTCGTATATTTCATTGGTGTCCGCAGTTCGGGTTGGAGCCAATCCGGTTCTGAGCAGTACATTACGGGTTCTCGTATTCCAAAATTCAGTACTATTCAGATTACCACACATACCCACAAAAATGAACAGGGGTCTGTAGCCCGAGACCTATGAGGATCGACTGCAATCAATAGAGGATTTTACTTTGAATACAGAGATCCATATCTACCAAAACAGACTTGTTACTCGAAAATGCCATAGATTTCGAAACGCATAGATTACTGATTATCCGTATCACTTATATATGTATTCTTATCGCACTTTACTCTGTTTTTCCACTTTGGGCGTATTTGTGCTTAATGACCACCTGCTCATGAATCTATTGGAGACGATCCACCTTATCTGTTAGCTAGTCAGTTGCACACAAAACATTTTTTTCACGGATGACACGTGGATCAAAGGCCCTCACAATAATCTAGACACTTCATTTCATAATAACTGTATCTGTGCTCGGCTCTAAATCTAAGTCTACATTATAACAGTCTATGTAAGAACTCAAACTCCGTGTTCACCACTACACCACCATATCCAGTAAAACTACCTTTAGATGGAATCGAAATTCAACACACGTTGCGTGCACAAGTATATATTAAATACGATGGTCGATACTTGCATTTTGATCAACTTCGACCAACTGGAATGATCACTCATAACACAAATGCCGTACGTCTATTTGTGTTGATATCCTGCATCTCGATGCCGCTCTTCAAAGAATCGACAACGTGATACATCTAAAGATAATATGGTGAAACCGGAATATGTACAGATATCGGCATTCGAATCGTCTGCTCTCTATGTAGGACAACATTCCATATACTTAACCAGCAGGGTGCCTTTTGTTGACATTTTGGTCCCAGCAAATCTGTGTCATATCCGCACTTGTGATCTGTGCTCGCCATTCCAATACAATGGCGAATCCTTCATTCCACATCAGTCCGTATGTCAAATCGTTTGGCGGTGATCTACCCATTTAACGTTGAATACTCTTTTAAACTACAAACCAAGAAATAGCTCTCGGATTTATCACAATTTGTGACTCCCAGAGGGCTTCTGTGTGTTACTCCTATTCCGTTGTGTGTTTTATGCGCGTTTTGATAACCACGTAATAATAGGGTCGATTACCTTCATGTATGAATCATATGAATCAAAGTGTTTTCACACAGCTCACCTCTCAATGAATATGGCTATATTATAAATTCATCTGAAACACGACCCATGTCTTGGTTGTTGGAGCTGGGACAAACGCTTATCGAGCACCAGCATTGCCCTTCAGGGTGTTTTGCATGTTGTTCCGAATATCAGATAACTAAATGATGGACACCCGCTCGAGGTCTTATGTAGTTTTGTATACCTGAGGATATCAGTGGACCCGACTGAAACATCCTCATTAACAATTACTTGGAAGAACTCTGATCTCGCAAATGCTGAATGAGATCATGAACTTTGAACAAATCACATACGAGCGCCTTACCTTACTCGGGAATGCATAGGATAGTCATAGAACAGCGTGCATTCCGATGATCTAGTTTTCCGTTATTTGTAAACCGTTTTAATGTTTTGTGATACAGTCAAACTTACCTGCATTAACGGTGAAATATAGCGAATTAAAATAGTACATTTTATTTCCCAAAGCAATACTGGTAGTCCCGCCTTTGTTCGAATTCATGCGATAAATTCCAAATGCCATGAAATTCGATACGCGGAACTTTCTTTTGAGACTGGAAGGGATATGCTGCAATTGGTCTGCCTCACTTTTCACCGTCAGTTATGCATACACGTTACTACCTCCTACTGAAACATTAGGAATTTAACCACGTTGTGCTCGGGATAGACCGTCAGATATAAAGCGATGCAAAGAAAACAAACTTCTAGGCCAGCCAATAAAACAAAAAATTATTAATCTACATTTCTGAGGTACTACATATCTCAGGCACAGAGCAATCCAGCTCATACAGAAGCTTATATGATAACATTGAAAGGAATGTCGGGTCAAGCCTCTTTTAAAGGTCCCGTCAAGCAAACGAATGTTGAACACGAAAAGGAGAATCGTATTTGAAGGGGTAAACCAGCGACTCACGGTCATTGAGTCGAAATGTGACGCCATTGGTTGATGATGCAAGAAACAAATGTACTATACAACACGTAATGAAGTAAAATGAAAAGGGTTTAAAACGAGATTCCAACGTGAAATGGATAGGTCACTGCCGAAATGATTTGACATAGGGACTGATCTTGTATGAATGCTACACGAGTGTATTGGAATGGTGAACACAGCACACAAGTGCACATCTGAATACCCAAAAGTTATTAACGGGCCAGTTTTCGCTTTCGATGATGCGACGTTCAAACTGTTTCTTATGATGGGTAATTGATCCCATTAACACTCCCGAATTGAAAACTGGATCTTCGGTATTCTTGGCGTCAGTATTACTCTGGAAACCTCCCCTGGTTAAGATCAGACGGATATACTTTTATTTGGACATAATGTCCCATCATTCCTTTGACATAGCCCGAC